AGCAGCCCCTCCAACCTTAAATGGGCACTAGCCCTTTGCAAGCAGCCACCTGCCCTCAGCCCCCCGCCCTGGCCCCTAGCCTCACCCGTTCAGCTTGGCACCCTGGATCCTCCAACCCCAAGACCCTGAGGTGACCCTTTATTTTGTCATGGAAAACCCAGGCCCCAGGAAGGGGCAGCCACTTGGTCAGGGTCTCCCAGCTCCCTGGCAGAATCCCAGCCCATCCCCCCCTCTGGGGCGCCCCCAGTAGCACCTTGGGGTCCTTCTCATAGTAGTGCTGCTGTGTGCGGATCCAGCGCCCAACGAGGTGGTCACGCACAGTGTGGGCCAGTGCAAAGTAGTAGTCGCGTGGGGTGGCCACATTGCGGTCCTTGACCAGTGTGAAATGGAGGTGCCGGTTGAAGTTCTTTTTCAGTTCAGTCACGTTCTCCACGCCAGCCAGGCCACGTACGCTGATTTGCTTTCTCTTCTCATGGTCTGACAGGGGCCGGGACATGGTCGCAGGAGGGCGGGCCGGACTGAGGGGCAAGTGGACAGGCGGCCTCTGCGGAACCTCCAGCCAGGGAGTGGAGCTCCCCAGCCCAGAAGGGATTTAAAGCCTGGCTCAGAGCGGCTCGCCCCACCTCCCCTGCCATGGGAGGGTCTTGGCCAGGAGGCTTGGAGCTATTTTGGGGGCAAGAGGAGGGGAGGGAAGGGAGGCCTGTTTGCAGCCTGTACTGACCCACTTCCTACAGTCCGTCTTCTGTCCTGTTTCTGCTTTTTGCAGGTTTCCAGGCAAGATGAGGCAGGCAGCATTGGACTGGGAGGCTGTGACTTGGGCTAAGGCATCCCCTGCTGGGCCCCTTTCCTGAGCTACAGATGAAGTGTGGGGCTGGACTGTGGACTTTTTTTTTTTTTAAAGTTTATTTTTTTACTTATAGGCGGAAACAATACCTTTATTTTATTTTTGTGTGGTGCTGAGGGATCAAACCCAGTGCCTTATGCATGTGAGCGCTCTCCCTCTGAGCCACAATCCCAGCCCCATGGACTGTGGACTCTTGCAGAGGCTGAGGGGCTGTCACGGGGAAGGGGATTCAGGAGGCCTAGTCCTGGGTTCTAGACACCATCTACCCTCAGCAGAGCAGCAGGGCTTGCTTTACACTTTTTTGTTTTTCTTTTAGTGGTGCTGGAGATGGAAGCCAGGTCCTGCTAAGTGATATCCTCAGCCCTTTAGACATTTGCCAGGAGGTGCAGACTGAGGAAAAATGAGCCCTGGTCAGGTTTATCATGACAGAGAACCTGGGCTGGGGCACCGTTGGTGGCTGGACACAGGTAGGAGGGCCGCATGTTATGGCAAGAGGGGCCAAGAACTAAGGGTCAGTGTGCCTTGAACAAAGGTGTGGCCAGCATTCAAGACACTGAGCAGCTGTGAGAAGGGGGACCAGAACCTGAGTTCTAGCAGGTGACATGTTGGGGGGAGGGTTGCCTAAGGTGGGGAAACTGCCCTCACCCCACCCCTACCAAAGTTGAGCCACACTAAGTTCCCCCTGTTGCTGTCCCTCAAGGAGCTCTGCAGTGACCTTTCCCTGAGGCATGGTCAGATTACAGGCGAGCCGCGCTGAGGCTCCCAGCCTGGAGCAGGAGTCCCTGGGAACTGTAGTCCTGTGGGCCACCTGAAGGGGAGAAACTGCAGCATCCCTACTTGTTCAGCGATAGTGGTTAGTGGCATTTGGGTCTCCCTGGGACCCACATGCTTGGCGTAGGCCTTCTCTCACCCCCCTCTGCCTATCTGGGGTCAGGATTCACGGCTCTATGATCTCACTTAAAAAATGGGAGTCTACTTTGTACCTTTCCCCCATTCATTACTTATGTCCTGTCCCTGACACTGGTTTGCTGTGTGCCCTTGGGCTGGTCGCTTTAGCTTAGATTCCATTGTCTACTTCTGCTGGGTGCGCATGCCTATAATCCTAATGGCTCCAGAGGCTGAGGCAGAAGGATCACAAGTTCAAAGCCAGTCTCAGCAACTCAGTGAGATCCTGTCTCCAAATATAAAAAAGGGCTGCAGATGTGGCTCATGTAGTTCAGTGCCTCTGGGATCAATCCCTGATACCCCTTTCAAAAAAAAAAAATTATATTCTCAAATTGAGGCTATATAAACTCTGCCTCTTCAGTTGCCACCTCCTAATCTCTTGAGGGTAGACTTTGGAACCTCTTTTTATTCTTTGGGCAAAGAGAACCTAGGAGTCTGTACTATTTTAAAGGCTGGCTGGGCCTCCCAGGGTGATAGGCTAGTCCAGGGAAAGAACTGGCTGTTTTACTTGAGGGCCAAAGCAGCAGGTCAGAGAGGTTCGGGCAGCTGTGAGGTGCTATCGAGTCTGCTTCAGGACAGCCAAGCTGTTGACTAAGCTGCAGCAGACCAGGCCCTGGAGTCACCAGCAGTGCAGGCCAGGCCTATTTGCAGGGCCTCCACTCTTCCACCTGCCCCAGACAGAGGGGTGTTGGCCTGCTTGTATTTGGGAGATGGGGAGGCCACATTTCCAGAAAGAGATCGGGAAAACAATGAAAAGCACTTGGGTAGACAGTGACAACTTTTTTTTCCTTTGTGGTACAGAGGATGGAGCCCAGTGCCTCAAGCATAGTTTCTGAGGCACTATTTCCTTTTATTTTTGGTACCAGGACACTTAAACCACTGAGCCACATCCCCCAGGCCACTGAGGCTGGCTTAGAACTTGCAGTCCTCCTGCCTCAGTCTCCTGAGCCTCTGGGATTATAGGTGTGCACCACCACTCCTGGCTATTTCCCATTTTTAATGGAGGAAAAAAAAAAAATGCCCAGCGGCTCCCTTTCACAATTCAATCCCCATCTCTGCATTTGGATGCACCTAGCCTCTGGTATGGCCCCGTGTGAGGTGGCCCTGACCTGCGTTCTCTCTTAGAGGGTTGTGGCAGAGCCGATTTCTTGGCAGTCACCACCTGACAAGCCTGGGCTCATTATCTAGACTTTCACTACCCTGATCGTGGCAGCATGCTGGGGTCACACAAACTCCACTGCCCCTCATTGCCTCCAAGACTTAACTCAGCCTATTGCCAGGACCTGACTCCAACAGACCTTCCCCACCTTACCTGACACCAAGGTTAATGGGTGGGTACCTTGCTTGGTGCTGGCCCCACTCCCACCCCAGCCTTATCTTCCTGCACTCCAGGTACTGGCCTACAGGTCACCCGAGCTCTGGCTCTTCTATGGGTTTCCCATTGTGTGGCACAATACTCTCTTGGACTGTCTCCAGGTTCTTCTCCCTGGGGTGACACCACCACAGGGCCCCTCCTTTATTCTGCACACCCCAGCCCAGCATGTCAACCCTCAGAGGCTCAAAGTCACCTCCAGCTTCCCATCCTCTCCACTCTCCTTAAACTGCCCCTCACCCCAGGGGCATGAACCCTGAAAGCTCACTTTTCCACCTGAACCAAGTCGAGGTTGTTTATGTTCAGGTTTCTAAGCAGAAACTCAGCCTCCCTCCCTGGAACCCAATCTTGGGTTTCTGCAGGGTATCTGGCCCAGTCTCAGTAACAGAGCCCTGATGCTGACCTTTCCCAACTGGCATGCCCCTGGCCAAGTTTGAGGGAGCTGGGACACTCACTGCAGCAGCAGCAGAAACCACAACAGCCCTGTCACAATAGGAGGGTGGGTCTTTTCTTGCACCCAAGATAGTGTTAAGGCAGGTAGGCAAGTGTTTCCCATCTTCCCAAACACTGCCACCGGGGTAGGTGCTTGCCACCACTCAATAGGACCAACAGCTTCCACTCGTGTAGACGGATGCCTTTTTAGCCACTGTTACTCTCCAAAACCTTAAAAGCTGTGGGTTGGGGGCTGAAAGGGAGGGAGCACAGGAATGGAGCTGGCCCCAGGAGAGAGGCGGAGGAGATAGCTGGGCTGTGGTTAAGTCATTTATTGATTTTTATTTCTAAAACCCACATAGCGCCACTTTGCTGCTTCCAGAGCTTCAAAGAGCTAATTAACCGCCCAATGAGCCCACCAGGGAAACCAAGCCTGTGGGGGAAGCAATGAGGTGAAGCCAAGGTCAAAGAGGGTAGCTGGGTTCCAAGGCCCTGTCTCAACTCCTGTCAATTAAGAGCAAAGGCCCACCCTTTTCTAGTTTAGGGATCAGTTAGTTAGGGAGGCCCAGCCCACTCGCCTGCTTCCGAGCACTCATCAATCCCTGCAGCTTGTGGCTAAGCACAGCATCCTGGACAGGCCCAGATGGCCGGCTCTGCTCCAGGGAACAGAAGTAGCCCCAGCTCAAAACTGGAGAGCAGCCCAGTTCTAAGGTGGCTCTTCCCAGGAGTGGCATAGCCAAGCAACAGCAGCAGAGGGTGGCCAAGAGCCTCACTACCTCATGGACTTGTAACACAATTTTTCTGATGCCATAATATACCATGACAGCCCCAGACAAAGAAACAGCCAGCCTAATACCCTCCATGAAGATGTGCTGACAAAGCACAAGGTAGGGCACTATCTTGCCCCCACCACTCCCCAAGCCTACAGTGTTGGCAGCCCTGAGCCACCAGCAGAGAAAGAAAAAAAGCCACTTGGCGGTTTTAATTTTAGCTACTATGCCTGACAGGCAGGATTAGCTGGCTTGACCTTTAGTGCTGATGGCTCCCCAGGCCCAGGGCCTTAGTCAGGTGGCAGCTTGCAGGCACAAGTCACCACTGGAGCTTAGCAAATGTGGGGGTCCAAGTGCCAGGGAAAGGCCTTCAAAAGGACAAACTAGAGATATGGGGTAAGCTTGGTTCTCAGTGCACGAACCAGAAACAAGACAGAGACGGAGGGGCCACCCACGTGCTCCACTCCTGGAAACTCAGTCTTGCAGGGAGCAGGTGGAAGGCTTCCTTAATTAATGTCCCATGGCTTCATTCCAGAAGGGGGAACAGGGGCCAGATGCTGAACACCAACAAAGTATGGCAACCTTGGGGCCACTGTGGGTGGTGGCAGAGGGTTAAAAGAAAATAAAGAAACAGACCCAGAAAACCACACTGCTCTTTTATTCAACGGAACACCCCCCTTTAGTGCAGTGTTGAATCAAACACCGAAAAAAAGCCCAGAGAAATTTCTGTAGATAAACCAGTGAAGAGAACGCGCGTTACACATTATTGTCAACATAATCACTCCATGAAGAGGGAAGGGGCGGGGAGAGAAGCAGAACAAAGAACGAGGGGCTCAAACCCCTAGACACTGCAAAACATTCAGACATTCGGGACTAAAATAAAAGAGGAAGGCTTCCAGGAAGGAGAGGAACAAATGGATTCTGTGGCAGTTTAGGTGGTCGGGGAGCGTGGAAAGGACTCTGGGCTGGCAGGCCAGTCCAAGGTGGCTTCAGCTGTGTCCCTACTGCTGGCAGGAGTGCAGGATGGTTATGAAAAGCCACCCTTGGCAACTTTACAAGTCTCTTTGACAAGATGGCAGAGATAAACTGCTACTCAAAAATTTAAGACAAACGTTTTTAGGGGTGGCTATGGACCCTTGAAATACTTAGAACCAAAGGACCCCCCTCAGCCTAACATTAATAGTCAAAGCCTGTGCCTAAAACCATTTGCTCCCCTCTCCTTGGCAGGGGGAGAAGGAGGAATGGAGAGAAGGGAAGGATTCTAATTGCAGCAGAAGACCGGGGAGAGCATCTCCTTGGACGGAGTCTGAAGAAAGGAAGAGATAAGGAAATAACAAAGGAAAAAGAAAAAAATTAATAAAAATTTCACGATATGGAGCCAGCGTGTTCCGATTCCGTCCACAAAAATAACTCAGGCTGCTTTGCCGAACCATCCTGTCCACCAGGGGCGCTGCTGAGGCTGTCTGCCTGGAAGGGTCACCAATGGGCGCGGAAAGTCCTCACTCTCATGGCTCGGGCCATCGCTGCTGCGGGGAGGGATCCTGGCGGCCCGGTTTGGGGAGAGGCAAAGGGAGTTGGGTGAGGAGAGAAAGAAGACAAAGAAGACACTCGATGCTACGGGGCGCCAGGAGAGCCCAAGCTGGCGCCCCTACTATATCCTGCCCGTTCCCAAGCGAGTCCTCAGTCGCTTGGCCCAGCCCGGTGCGTGCACACACACACATGCGTGCACACACAATCACATGCGTGCGTCCCAATGTCTGGCTCCATATGGTGAGGTTCGGCGTGTGTTTAAACGAGACCAATTCTCTCTATATATAATATATATTTTCTTAAAAAACGAGTCTAGTTCTGTGGTGGAGGCGGTGGGGGAGCTGGAGGCATCCCGAAGGGTGGCATGCCCGCCACCCCCATGCCCATCATGGTGACAAAGTTAGAAGGGTCCATGGGAGGCGGAGGAGGAGGGGGCGGGGCATACATCATGCCGGCGGAACCAGGTGGCGGAGGCGGCGGAGGGGGAGGGGCCCCGGGCGGCAGAGGCGGCTGGACCCCGGGGGGCAGGGGCACCATAGTGGGGTTGCCTTGCATCTGAGGGGCTCCTGGAGAAGCTGCGGCAGCCGCCTGCTGCTGTTGCCATGGCGGGATGGACCCTGTGCCAGCGCTCGTGGTGGTAGTCGTCGTATCTGGGGTGGTAAAGAAGCCCAAGGTCACACGCGCGGGGGGCACACCGCGGCTCTCTGCGGCTGCTGCCTTGGGATGGGGGGCGAGGGGCGCCTGCTCCTTGCTTGGCATGCGGTACGGTGGTGGGGGGCGGGCGGGCAGGGCTGTCCTGGTGATGGGGAGTGGAGGGGTGGGCAGGACTACCCTGGGGTCAGCCTCAATGTCTCTGGGCTTAACAGCATAAGCCCTTTGTCACCAATGCCCCTGGAGGGGCTGAGGGAAAAGTACCAGACTCAAGAACCGGCTCTGACGTCCCTCCGCCCAGCCGCCGCCACCACCGAACGGCACATTCAACCTCAAGGCCACAGCTGCTCTCTCCCCACAGCCCACCCAGTCCCTTCTCTGCAGTCTCTCAGGCCCAATCACAACCCCGTCCAGAGCAAGCATGCACCTTCCCACTCGGCCCTATGTACAAGACGGGCCAGCCAGCAGTTCACTCAGCTGGCAGACCCTGGACTTCCGATACCCTGCCTACAACCGCAGGCTCCCCTCCAGACCCCCACAAATCTCTCCCTGCCTACAACTGCAGGCTCCCCTCCAGACCCCCACAAATCTCTCCCCAGACACAACCACACCAAACATCAGCTTTCCTCCCCAAGACACCTCCAGGACCAGGCGGCCCCTTCCATTTCTGCCTCCCAAATCCCCCAGCTGAGAGCGAGTCTCTTCCCAAGGTGTGTGAGCTATGAGGTCTTATTGTTCTAAACCCCAACCCTTGTCCCACCCACCCCCACAAGCCCAAAATATTGCACTCACTTTGCTGCCATGGCAAGGGGGTACTGGAAGCCATACTGCTGCTGGGCGGAGGGGGTGGCGGAGGCTGCTGCTGCTGCTGCTGCCATGGGGGAAGAGGACCAGAGGGAGGGGGCGGGGGCTGCCCACTGGGAGGCGGCGGCGGTGGCGGCATCATGCCCATAGGCGGAGGCGGCATCATACCTGCAGGTAGGTCAAAGAAGGGTGAGGTCTCAGGGAAGGAGGGGACCTGGGCCAGAGCCCCTGCTTACTTAACCCAGACCTAGGTGGAGACCCACAGCAAGCAGACAATATTACCTTTTCCTTGATGCAGGCGATAGACCCCAGAGCCCACAGGCGTACTTCCCAGGTACTGATCTTGATGGAAGGAAAGAGCAGGGACTTAGCAGGACATTTGAACCAGCCAGGGAAGACACCCCCCAACATCTTCCTCAGTCACATAGCTTGAATACTACCCTTGAGACAGCAGCTCTGAAAAGTCTTCATATGCAGGCAGTGCTGGACCTCCCCATGCACAACGCACTTCTTATTCAGATAGTCTTGCTCCTTCTAGAACCCAAGACTTGGCAAGGCCAGTAGGCCCAGTGCACTAGTAAGCCATTGTAAGAGCTGTTTTCAGCTCACAGGGACCCTGTCAGAAGCCCGTGCTTATCCCAGAGCCCCAAGGTTTCTGGTCTGACACTTACTTACCCATTGGAGGAGGGCCATGGTGCCCAGGTGGGTGGGGGCCCTGGTTCATCGGTGGTGGCGGTGGCTGCATCCAAGGGGGTGGGGGTCCATTTGGGTTGTGCTGCATGGGATGTCCACCATGCCCACCTGTCAGGCTGGGTAATGGGTGTGGGAAGCTGTGGGGGCCACCTCCAGGCCCGCCAGGACCACCTCCATGCATGCCATGATAAGGCCGACTCTCTGAAGGGCCAGAATTCATCCAGGGTGGGCGGCTCTGGGTGGTGGACATGAGAGACTACGTGAGAGCATTTCCGGCCAACGTCCCTGTCTGCTCCCCCTGATGGCAACACTGTTCTTCCAGCTATGTCATAGGACCAGGATAAAAGCACAAGAGGCCTCCCAAAGTAAGAAGTCCCCCACTGGCCAGACATTCCGGAAGAACAATGTTGCCATCCATGTCCATCACTCAGCTTCACCCAAAGCACTTGGCCATAGCTTCCAGTCTCTGAGGAAGAGACTAGGGGACCAGGCCAAAAGAACCCTCCCAAGGCTCACCGGTGGAGGCGGGTTGTTGGCAGGAGCAGCAGGCCGAGGTGCACTAGCCAAGGGTGTGGTCGCAGGCCCAGAGGTGGAGCCCACAGATGCTGGGACAGGGGCTTCCCCAAGTTCAGCCATCAAGGACAAATATTCTTTATCCATCCGTGCTTTATCCTGAGCTGACTGGGGGTCACCAGGCCTGAAGTGGGGTGGGGGATACAGAGAGCAGAGGAAGCTTTGATTCTGAGAAACCTCAATATACAGTTTTAAGATTCAGCCCTCAGGTCACCCTTGCTTTCTAACCTCTTACTAGGCATATAGTGTAAACAGTCCTACCAGCTCCTTGGTTCAGGGCCATTTCCTCATCTAGAGCACCAGTGTCTGCCACAGCAGAAGCCCTGGGCCAAGATAACTGGTGAGGAAGCACCAGGCCCCTGATAGTCACAAGAACACAGGTTCACCCTCTGCAGTTTCATCAAATCCTACTTGCCCATTATGAAAGAAAGTCTCTCCAATCTCCAAGACTGGGCAACTGCCAGAAAGAACCTTAACAATGCCTTAGAGAAATGCTGGTGTCAAGGGCTGATTTACAAATGGTCAAATTCTGTAGTCAGTTTTTGTTTTGTTTGTTTTTGATACTAGGGATTGAAGTCAGGGATTCTCTGCCACCAAACTATATCCCCAAGGTTTTTCTTTTTTTTTTTGGGGGGGGGAGGGGTACCAGGGATTGAACTCCAGAGCACCACCACTGAGCCACATTCTCCATCCCTATTTTGTATTTTATTAGAGACAGGTTCTTACCAAGTTGCTTAGCGCCTCACTAAATTGCTGAGGCTGGCTTTGAACTCTCGATCCTCCTACCTCTGCCTTCTGAGCCGCTGGGATTACAGGTGTGCACCAGTGTGCCTGGCCCCCAAATTTTTAAAAATATTTTTTAGTTGTACATGGACATAATACCTTTATTTTTATGTGGTAATGAGTGAAAATCAAACCCAGTGCCTCACACATGCTAGGCAAGTGTTCTACCACTGAGCTACAACCTCAGTCCTATTTTCTTTGACATTCTTAGAAAGGATCTCAGTTAAGTTGCTTGGACCGTTGAACTTGAGATCCTCTGCCTCAGCCTCCTGCCAGCTTTGAACAAATGTTTAAGCAGCAAAGGCAGTGAACTAATATTGAGCCTCAGTGAAAACATTATAATAACCAATTTGGGCCTGTGGCACACATCTATAATCCTGGTGACTTACAAGAGGATGCCATGTTTGAGGCCAGCCTCAGCAACTCAGCAAGGCCCTCTCAAAATAAAAAAGGACGGGGGATATGATATAGTTCAGTGATAAAAGTTCCCCTGAGGTTCAATCCCTAGTACTAAATAAATAATCAGAATAGAAACCTTTTGGTTTTCTTGGACACAAGACAAACAATAAAACAGAGTTGTTCTGTAAGACTGTTTGTAATCCTTCTCAGTTTTATCAATCACACCATCACCCAACCATGTACTAAAGAGAACTATCTTGTATGCTACTGGTTACCAGAAAACCCACAGAACAGCTAGTCCCTCACCTTTGAAACTTGCAATCTGAAGCAATGTGGCCAGCTCCTCCACACTTGGTACACACTGTAGTATTGGTAATGCTGCGGGTCTCTGAGCTCTGCCAGGGTCTTAAGATTCTGTTGAGAAGAGAAAATCAACTCAAAGGCTGTGAACACCCTCTCCACTTGCACAGCTTCTTCAGGTCTCTGCACACTCCTCTCAACTGATCACTACCTGTTATCATCTTCCCGAAGGGTACCATTCAAGCGAGCCAATTCTCGAAGCTGCATCTTCCGTAGATCATTCTGGTCCTCTGGGGTCTCAATACCTTGCTTCAGGATGTTTCTGATCTAGTGAAGACACAACGAGAAATTAGTCATGCATACCTGTAATCCCAATGACTCAGGAGGCTGAGATCAGTCCCTGCAACTTAGTGAGATCCTATCGCAAAGTAAAAAGGGTTGGGGACTTAGCTCAGTGGAAAAGTGCCCCTGGATTCAATCCCCAGTACAAAAAAAAAAAAAAAAAAAAGAGTAGCAGTTAGCTGCCACCACCCAGATTTCTATTAAGAGGTTTCCTTTCTTGGCTTATCACTCACCTGCTCTACTGCCTTTTTAACATTCTCCATTGTATTAGCAGTGACTAGGGCATGAAGTGGCTCATCTTCCCCTGGCAACATCTGGCCATCTTTGCGTCCAACCTTCCCTTCTTTCACAGACCCTTTCCCCCGGATCATGATCTTGGCGTTGCACTCCTTCTCAATATTCTTCAGGGTGTTCCCTCTAGAGGCAGAAAGGATTTAGTTTATACTCAATACTCAAGTTCACACTCGACAGAGGCTGGGCTGGGTGCAAATTAATGGAAAACTACAACTATAGCGAATCAAATTTTCCCACTGAAAACTCTGTGCCCTTTAAGGTAAAGTTGGTCACAGCGAATCTGAGGATTTTCTTTCTCTGAAGTAAAAGGGAATATTGACAAGAGTTCTCACAGAATGGGCTAGTTCAGCCAAAGTCAATGCCTTACTAAAACAAACAAAGCCAATGAATGGCACCCCAATTAGGCACAAGGAGACACATCTAGGCTCTAAGGAATTCTATACCCCAATAAGCTAGTAATTACTCACCTGGGCCCAATTAGTAGCCCAACAAAGTTGATTTCTGGATACTCATCTTGAGGGATCATTACTTTATCACTCACACGTGTTGCTGGAGGTCTAAAGAAGAAAGACAGTCACCAACTCTGCACATTTCCACATGAGATCACCCAGTTTTTCTAAAACTAAACACCAGTATTATTTATGGGTGAGCTTGGACAAGTGGTGAATAGTACCAAAACTGCCCCAGCAGGTCACATTTGACAGGCATGTGACCTTGTCCCAAGGGACCTAGTCCCTCTGCTTACTTATAATCTGCAGGTGGCTTGAAATCAGGGTTGAGGGCAACCATCTCCGTGATGAGGTTGTGCCGCTCCTCTTCCAGCTTTTTGCGTGTACGGAACTCTCTGGTGTTAAGTCGCTTCCCCTCACTATTGTAGATGGGCTCAGGGGAAGGGGACCTGTGGGAAACAGACCCCCGTTACTGCTCTGTCCCTACTTCCCTCAGTCCCACATGGACTATAACAGTCTTCCCCAGCCCCTCTGCCTCTCAGACCCTAACACTCTTCGGAGGAACCGACCATAACGTGTGCTATTTGAGATCGTGTGGAATGGGGAAATGGAAACTGGCTGAGTATTTTGGGGACTGGGGTGTGTGTGAGAAAGGAAAAAAAAAGGTTTTGTTTCTAAAAGTGATGTGGGGGGGAGTCTGTCCTTTGGGGGAAATCTCTGGATTGTAAGTGGCAAGGACAGTTTCATCCACAGGAGTCTCCTTGCCAAATGATTTTTCTTTCATTTGGGAAAAAAAATGCAATATCCCAACTTGGTTAACCACAGAAACCCGAGTTTAGGTGAAAACATTCTCTCTTGGAGAGCTCATGCCTATCAGGAAGATCATTTGTACCCCTGACACATAGTGAACACGAGCTCTTTCACCCAAAGCAGCTGGGACTCAAGCTATTGCAGCTACTTGGTCCCCACAATGGAGAGAGATGGTTCAAGGCTTCGTCTCTGCTTTTCCTTCAATGGCCTGGCTGGCTGTGTCCAAGGCCCAGGAGACAACCTGTTTCTGGCTGTTCGAGGTGGGGAGTCTGGATGGAGAAAACCGTTAAAGTGCTAAAGCAGCTTCTGCTAGAGCTGCAAATGCAGATTTGGTCAAATACTTGTCTAGGGTCTGAACCTGCCAACAGCAAGGGGGAAACCTATGATTCTCCGCCAGAGTTTACAAGTCCAGAAAGCAGATTATTCTCTCTCATTTTTTAAGGAGTAAAATGCTGATGCTACAAGCAAAAAAATAGTAATGATAAAATGGTCAGTTTACCACAGCTGGATTTTGCGGTAATAAAAAAAAGAGAAGTTACACTCCTAGAATTCTGAGTTAAGATTACAAAAAGGACCATAGCTTGATATTCTGTATGAAAATTTAGTAGCAGCTGCAAGAAGGGAAAGACCATGTGGATCAGGTTATTAAAAAAACATCCTGAAAGTAGTTCAGACTCCTACACCCTTGGTTTAGTTGAGAGAACCTTGCCTAGATGGAGAGCAAGGACTGAACTCGGCTGCTCCCACTGTCTTCAGCCTAAAGGTAACCATGTCATACCACGTCACACACACGATGGAATAAAAGGTCAGGTTTGTTCATGACTAATGACGGCTAAATGACACCTCCGTTTCTAGCATTTGTATAAACTGTTAGCACAATCCAGTGAAAGTGAACACAGGCAAACATACCCCAGCTCATTAGACTATCATCTTACACATTAAAGTCTACAAGAGATTTTAAAACACCTTTAACTGTGCAAGTTAAATAACATCAAAATAGCATATGAAGTGGCTTAATTTTGATATACCTTCTTAAGAAATAATCTTATAAAAGTAAGAAACTCATGCATTTCCTTCCAACCTGGGCTCAAAAGCAAAACCAATCAGGCATTAGGGCCTCTTTCAAAACTAAGTGCAAGGGAAGAAAAATCCTGTTCTGGTTTTATTTCTAACATGCTTGACATTTCTATGCCCACCCCACAGCTGTCTAGAATTGAGCACTTCTGGCTAATCACCAGAACAAGTTGTACCAGTCCCAAACTGGCCATTTAAAGGCCTCACAGTTTAACCTCTTCCCAAATTGTGGAAGTGAAAGGCAAAAGCTAATAAGCTAGGTTAGGCTGGCTGGACTTCTTCACCTGAATAGGCATCGGGCACATCAACTAAATTCTAATCCCAGTTCTCCAGGAAGCAAAGAGGTTTGTTAAAAACTCAATCCTTTAGAGGAATTGCCTGTAACCTGTAGACATTATTAAAGGGGAAAAGGCCAAAAAGACACTAAACAGTTGTGGTCTATAACCTACAATGGAAATCTTAAAAAGAAAAAAAAAATTCTTCAAAAAGAAATATAACACAATCTTCCAACCAAAATCTACAGGTAAAAATATAAAGGATTTATTAAATAAAATTAAAGAGTCAACATGGAGAAATAACGAAGCTGTTTCCTGGCAAAAGGCAGCAGAAAGATGCATGTGAGTGACTTGTAAAGCCATTCTATCATCTTCCTGACTGAAGGAGCCAGACTGGGTAACAAAAACGAAAAACACTACTTTTTAAAGCAGAGTCTTTTTAAGTATGCTGCATGCACTAAGAAGTATTTCAGTGAGAGGAAGGTTTACTATCTTATTAAGTGATCAGATGTTAGCTGTTCAAAGATCAGCCAATATAATTTCAGTTTAAAAAGTCCATCTCCCTCACATAAACTTTACTTTTTAGAGGTGAGAGAAAATTATAAACTGAAATGACTTGACCACAGCTGTTTGAGGCCCACTTCCCTTAAAAAAAAAAAAAAAAATTTAGGATTGGTTGCTTGCCTTCCCAAAACAGGTGAGGTAAGAATATACTGGCCCCTCCCCAAACCCCCAGGCAATGGCCAAGGCTGAAAATTAATTGGCAGTGAAGGAAGTTGGTTAGAAATCTCACCTACTTTTAAAACCACCTCAAAACCTTAAGCAGAAATAGTGTATCAATGAGCTGGTCTAATTTTCTGCCACGTTAATTCAGTGATGCTCAAAAATACTCTTAACCCCTGCATCATGTACCTGTGAGAAAAACTACACCCTGGGCTTGCAGCCAAAGCAGGCACTGAAAAGGCAGGTTAATGGCCACCTCTCACTGTCCCTCAGGGTGGGTAATCAGGTTAAATCTACATGCTTACCAATTGGAAACCAGTTGTCCATTTTTATGTAACTTTTTATTCTTTTTAGTTAAAATTCCAATTTTCTAACTGTTGACTGACCATATACATTTACTAATTAAACCCTAGTCCCCAGAATGGTCAGACCACCAGTCTCTTTAACTAGGATTTTATCGAACTGACACAATGTTGCCACCAGTAAAATGTATTGAGAAAAAGGTAAAAGCGTTACTGTCAGCTGGTTAAAACTGTTTCCCAACCTGTCCTCAGGGTTAGGGGGGATGCCCAGGTCTCCTGTGCGCAGTTTACGAGTCAGGTCTTCTATCTGCAGTTGCACTGGAAGAAACCAGGTTAGGAAAGAAAAAAAAGGATGGAAAAAAGACAATGTTACCAAAAAACATCTCAAATCTCAACAACAAGCATGAAGAACTCGGAGACTTTGAAAGGGACGATTGATTGATCAGTGAACACATTGAGGCAAAAACCCCCAACCACCTATTGGCAGAAGTCCACTTACATCTAAAGGTTATTTTTTCACTTCAAAATGGTTATCACTTAAGGAAGCAAACCGTTTGTTGGAAGAGGGGTTAGCAATAAAGACTGTTCACTAAGGCTAACATCAAAGCAATTATCAGGAGGTGTTCACTTTTCCCTCCCCACCAACACTTGCTTATTACAATTGGCACCCCAAACCAACACCCATTGTGTGACATCACCGGTACCTGGTTCCCATCAAATTACTTGAGGGCAAGACTTGCAAAGTTTATTTTTCTTTGTGAAATATTAAACATAGCCCAAAGTGAGACCCAATTAACATGGGACAAAGAAAAATACCAGTTGAGCAAATATCATTTCAATTAAGACCAGGTTTTAAACTTCTGAACAAGCAATACATTCAATAATCAATTTGACATCTTATAGCAATTTATACATACACTTTCTGTACATCCAGACCTGTACTAGTAAAGGTCTCCCATACCTGCGGTTTTTATGCAAATATTAAATGGAAAACCATGTTTTATCTTCATACACCAATAGGCATAAGGTGCTAGGAGTTTATTTTCAGACCTGCTATTGATGTGGAGAGTAGGTATGTAGAAGATGCAAAGTGTGGATCAAGGAGAATATACGTGGCCCTCAGGCCTTGACCTGAGGCTGTACCCAAGAAAGAGATGAGGGTTTCACAAAAGTTACCAGAGAATCCAGGGAAATGTTACACAGCTGATTTCCCAAAATAATAGGAACTGCAGAGCCAGAGTACTTTCAACAATCTAAACAACCACCTGTTTCTTACCTTTGCAGCATCTCAAGAGTTCTTAGTAGGCACCTCTATCAAGGGCAAGGCTAATTGGGTTGGATTACAGTTGAGTTGGCTCCTAGATATATTAATGTACATCTAACCCCTAATACCTTCTAATTTGAAGTACATCACACAGGGATATATACCACACCCTCACAATGAACTTCTCAAGAAATGAAAATCCATTAATACAAAAGACAATATTAGGGGCACCCTGGACAAGACACTGTGTACTGTGAGAGACAGAAGGCGAGTAAGACATGGCTCTGCAAGTTCCTTTATGCCAGACACTTTTGACTTCATAGTCAATGATGTGGCAGTCCTCTCAGGTGGATTGTGGGGGTGTGGGTTCTGAGCTGAATAAATAGTTGATACTGAAATTATAAAAAGTGTTGCTATCTTCTTGGGATCAGAGGCCTGTACCAATCTCTGCTTGGATTCTATATACACTTTGATGATGGCTAGAAACAGCCCTTAGGGCTCAGTGCATTAATGAGGCCAACAGGGAGAGGAAATCAAGTTGTAAAGAATGAGTCTGTTGTCCCTATTTTCAGGTCTGCTTGTATTCTTGTGCTATGACTCCACTAGAGGCATTCCACAAGGTTGTGAAGTCCCACACTGGTCTAATGAGACACAAGTGAGTAGGCTGGAGTAGATAGGAAGAGTGGGGAAAGTCTTAGTAGTACTGTGAAAAAGGAGATAGAATGCCTGTAATCCCAACAACTAGTGAGGACAGGCAGGAAGATCAAGGCCAGGATCAAGTTCTAGGCAGATGATATCCTCTCTCAAAATTTAAAAAGGGGCCTGGAGGTGTAACTCAATGGTAAAGGACCTCTGGGTTAAATCCTCAAGTCATACAGAATTCTAATACCTCAAAATTCTCAACAATTACTGGATACAGTGGCATACACCTAAGACTCCAGCAACTCAAGAGGCTGAGGCAGGAGGATTTTAAATTCAAAGCCAGTCTGTCCAACTTAGTGAGACCCCATCTCAAAATAAAGTTAAAGAAGACAGGCACAGTGGTATACACCTATAATCCAAGCAACTCGGGAGGCTGAGGCAGGAGGACTACAAGTTCAACAACAGCATCAGCAATTTAATTAAAGTAACTCAGTGAGACCCTGTCTGGGAATGTGGCTCAAAGGTTGAGCGCCCCTAGGTTCAATCCTCAGTACCCAAAATAATAACTAATTTTAAAAAAATAAAGTTAAAGAAAAGGCTTGGGGTGTAGTTCAGAAACAAAAATGCTCTTGGGTGTCCAATCCCTAGTACCAGAAACAAAGCACTCCCCATAATATAAAAACCACAAAATTAAAACCCTCTCCAAAATTAAGCCATGGGGCCTTGAAGCTTTTATGGGAAGGCACAGCCTCATAAAGCCTAAGAGGTCTTTGCCCTAATTTCCTCCCAACGGGGTGAACGGGCAAAGGGAGAGATGTTTACTTGATTAGTAGGATATGTTATCAAGCATACTTTCTGAGACAGTTGGACAAGTATATAAAGATTGCATTAGACCTTGTATTATTTTCTTCAAGTAATTTTGAGGTTAGTTTCAATCCCACTGTGGATAGTCGTGAAATATCAAGGGGAAAGCTACCATTTTTTACTGTGTATCAAGCAACATCCCCTTCCCAGCAGAGTTCTTTAGAAGTAAATACAAGAGCCTTCATCTTAAGACAGCTCTCCAGAGGCCAAACCAGAAGATGCTGAAGGGAAGGTTAAATTCAAGAAAATGGTAAAAAGGGGTGAACTGTAAACACACTGTCAAGGAACACTGTTCAAACTGAGTTTTTGTGTTTTTTTCCTTTCAGAAAGAACCTATAAAAAGTAAAACCACATTTTAGGGAAACGGAGAAATATGAAATTATGGTGAAAGGCCATGCTGTGAAAAAGGTACTTGGTTTACAATACCTGCAGTGTTCTCCACTGGGGCCTGTCCAGAGAGGCAGACAAGACACTCACCTCACCAACTGGTAATGAACAGCAGCTGAAAAAGGTGGGCTGCTGGAATGGGGACTATTCTCATTCCTAAATGGGGCCCTCAACCCTTCCTGGCACTCGTGGAGAACACTGCTGTTATGAACAGACCAAAACAAGGAACTACAAAAGCAACACTTGCTCAGCAGAACCTGACATTATACCAATGACATGAGAATACATCTGACCATATCTTGTCTCTATAGCAATAATAATAAAAAAAACTATAGGACTTTCGACAGATATAGCACTCAGAATAAATAATCATCTAAAAATACACTTGGATACAGAACGTGTATTTACCTATGTAAGCTCTCTCTTGTTCCCGAGTAAGTCCAGGGGGAATAACAGTAGGCATTCCTGGAATCACTGTCTTCTGTTCCATTGTATCTTGATTCCATCTGCTCCGTTTCCGCTTCTTACTTGGGAAGTCTAAAGGCAGACAAAGACCATCAGGTGAAAATATAAGCCTGCACAGTATTAACAGGCAATTCAGGTTTCTTAGGATATATAGGCAGAATGTCAGCACACTCTGAAACTGAGAACTCCACTTAAGATTTAAATGGCAAAGAATGGAAAGACAAACTTCAGAGGTCAGAGATGAAAACAC